GGACGAAGCTTTTTCTCTTTGCCATCCGAAATTCGTTATTCAAAGTCTATTTGGAAACAAAACAACACATGCACGGGAAGATGGCCTCTGCAGGCTCAAATTAACTGCTCCTGTCATCCCTGATTTCCCTGGCTGCTGCTGGAGGATGCTGGATCGAGGAGGAGGAGGAGGCGGCACGGGCACTGCTGGAGATGTGAGTGGAGCAAACCTGTGAGCTCCTGGAGCTGCTCCAGGGCTCGGGGGTCTCCCCTGGGAATTGGGGTGGGGGGCTTTTCACCCCCCTGCCCTGCACAAGCTTGGCTCAGACAGGTCAGGTGCCCGAGGATCGCTGCAGAGCCGCCTCCCTGCACACCCTGCTCCCTCCCAGCTCCCACACTGGCCTGGGCTGGGACCCCAGCCCGGCTCCAACAACCCAATCCTGCCTCAAAAAAAGCCCCTGGCAGCCTGGAGCTTCGCTGGGGCCTGCTGGGTGCTTTGTTTTCTCAGCTGCTGCTCTGCCCTCGCTGCTGCCACTTATTGATATCAGAGTTTGCATTAGCAGGTGCAGCTCTGGGATATTCAATTACCTATAAAGGGCTGTAGCAAGGCAAGACATTGCTGGAGGCATCAAGGCCGTTGGTTTCAGGGTTTTTTTTCCTTGGTTTCGGGTGCTTTGTTTTGGTTTTTACCTTGCATTTAAAGATGTGAGGACCGGTAAAGTGGCACTGACTGCATAAAAAAAAAAAAAAAAAACCACAAGTAAAAAGTGGAGTAAAGAGAAGGAGAAATAAATAAATAATCCTGTTTATTAAATGAAACAGCTGGGTAGGGAAAAAAAATGATCTCCGGGAAGAAAGCAGCTCCCTGGGCTATTTTTAGCTCTTTTGTTTCTCCCCCCCCCTTTCCACCCCCACCCTCCTTGCACAGTCTGAGGTTTGGTGTGTGTCAATCCTGCTGTTCTCCCTCACCTCCTGAGTGCCAGGTGATGTGCTCTTTTCTTATTTTCTTTTTTTTTTTTTTTCTCCTTTTTGAGCATCTTATTTATAGCACGGAGCTGGGGGAAGGGCAGCAGCATCAGGAGAGGCCGTGCAGGAATCGCCCTCGGTCCTGGCGGGGCAGGAGGGGGCAGCAGGGGCTGAGCCTCTCCTGCAGCATCTGGGGTGGACGTGGCCCTCCCTCTGCTCCTCAGCAGCTCAGGAGCTGCTGCAGCCCCCCAAAATTCCCTTTGCCTGGATCTGGGGGCTCCCAGCAGCTCCAGGGCAGGGGCCACGTTTGGTGGCTCCTTCAGCTCTTGCTCCAGTGGGGCTGGAGGACCTTGGGTTTCCTCCATTTTCCTGCATTTCCATTTTCCTGCATTTCCACCAAGTCTTTCTCCCTCTGGGCACCCACCATTCCTAAACCCATCCCAGCGAAGCTCTCCAGCACCCCCAGGCACTCAGCCCTGCAACCTTCCCCTTCCCCAGCCACCCCTCCCAATCCCCCATCTCCATCCCATCTCCTGGGAGCTGCTGCTGCCCCAAGGCCCCTCTCCCCCATCTCCCCCCTCACCGAGCATCCTCGTGGGCTCCCATCTTCGTGCCGTTAGGGAAGAAACACATAATTCTCTTATTATTCAATTAGGAGTTTAACACACAATCAGGTGATCGCTTTAAGAGGATTTCCTATAAGGCAGGATTTGAATAACGGGGCTATGAGTAATATATTCCCTTAACTGGTTTATTCCTTTATCAGATTTTTTTTTTCCCCCTAAGCACTTTAATGCATTTACTTTCCCATTGTCGACACTTTTCTCCGAGCTCTTCCTCCCTCCCCGAGCTTATGCAAATCCCCCGTAAGGCGTTTAATGCTCCGTGTGTGTCAATAGTGCCCAAATCTTGGCGGCAGCGTTAGAATTCATGCATGCCCCGGCTGATTAAGAGGGGTGCTGGGGCCAGCCTGGCTGCCCAAGCCCCCTTCCAGCCCCCACCGTGCTTGGGGCCGGCCAAGGGAGCTGCATTTTTGCAGAGAAAAGGCTGGAGCTGAAAGTCGCTTTTCTTTTGCGGGGTGAATGGGGAGCCAGGCTGAGCTGCCCGCCGCTGTTTGCTGCCCCGCCGCTCAGATTTCGGCTGTGTGGAGGTGTTTGCAGGGAGAGGGGGATGCCTGTGGGGGGGATGTGAGCGGAGAAGGAAGAGGAAGGAGGTAAAATAACCCCTGAGCCCGTGTCAGCGCTGGTTTGTGCTCACACAGTCGAGCCTGTGCGGCAGAGGATGCTCAGGGTGCCTGTGGGAATGGCTTGGGCATCGCTGGCAGGAAAAACAGGAATTTTCCCACTTTTTGTGCCACCAAGGGCTGAGGTCGTGTCACCCTCCCCACGCTGCCCAGCCTCCCTCGTGCCCTGGGTTTGCTTCCCCTGAGGCAGCCCCTGGGATTTGTTTTTGGGGGGTTAAACAGCTTTTACAGACAGGGGTGTGATGTGCCAGCTTACTGGGGGAGAGGCTCGGGGGATGTGTTTGCCTGCTCACCCGGCCGGGATGTTCACTCCGACACCGGCAGACAGCGCTGGGACACTGCGGAAAGGGGAGCCTGGGCAGGAGGGCAGCAGAAATGAAAGGAATAGCAAAAAGGGTTGGCCTGTAATTCCTGGTTTTCCCATTGCCTGAGGGTTTTGTGGCTGCCGGTGAAGCACAGCACGGGGGAAACACCCCTCCAAGGGCAACTATCACCATTTTCTCCTTCCAGAGAAAAATCCCTCTCAGCCTGTGCCTGTGGAGAGCCCGGTGAGTGGGAGCGGGCTGGACCGGCCCTTCCCGGCGCTGTTTCCTCCACGCCCACCACTGATTGTCTCCTTTTTTATCCCGTCCTGCCGCTCTGCCTGTGCGTGCAGCAATTATGCAAAGTTGCAATCAAGGAGCTGAATTAGGAGCTCATCTTGGATTAATTAGTGATGGATGCAAATCTGTTCCAACAAAGAGGAGCGAGGGGAGTGCAAAGGCCACGGGTATCCTCCCAGGGTTTCTCCAGCTCTCCCAGGCTGGTTTGAGGGCAGGAGGGATGCAGAGTAATGCCTTGCAGGAGAATTGGGGCATCCACGTGAAAGAATTTGGTTCTTGGCCTTGGGACAAGGCTTGGGTGCCCCAAAGCTGACGCTCAGCTCAGCCCCTGCATCTCCCTGGAAGTTTTAAACCCAGAGCTTTGGGCTTAGAGCATCTCCTCCCACCCCAGCCTTGCTGCAAAGCTTGGGGGAAAACCAGTTAATCCCTGCGGGCTCCAGCGCTGAGCTCCTGCCAGCGCTGGGGATTTCTGTTCGCCTGCAATCGGATTGTGACAAACCCCTCCACTTGCACTGAACAAATTCCCTGGCTACTCCCCGCTCCTTGCAGGCCCCAGTAATCCCCTGAGTGTGACTCTGGCCAAGAGGCAACATCCCCGATTAATCCCCGGCGTCTCGGTGCAAAGCCGCTGCTGCCGAGGGTGCTCCCGGTGCTGGCACGCCACGCTCGGCCAGCGCTGGAGCAGACCCCGGGGAAGGATGCAAAGGATGCAATGCCGTTTAAAGGAGCTTTTGCAAGAGGGGATTGCAGGCTTGAGAACAGCCTCTTCTTCCTGTGAAGTGGAAAAGATGGATGTGCAGCACTCCCAGGAGCACCGAGCCGCGGGGTGTGGGAAGGGGGTGCAGAGGTTTCACCCCTTTGTCTGCCCCCCCTCAGTGTCACCCACCCCAGCTGGTGCAGAGGGGTCACTCACTGGGCACTGAATAGCCAGGGCAGCCTGGCAGGGTGAGCATGGCTTGGTTAAGGAGCTCCTGAACCAAGGGTTGGCTCGTGGCTGTGCCCACAGGGATGGGGACAGTAGGGACAGCCATTTCCCATGGTACCCAAGAGTTTAAAGCCTTGCCTTGAGGTTTTTGGTGTGCAGACAACTGAAAGGTCTCTCCTTCCTCTCCCCTCTGCAACAGTAATTATTAATAAAACCTGACTCGGCTGGAAGGGCAAGAAAAAAAACAACAATACAGGACATTTCTGGAGATCATCCTAATCCAGCATCTCGGAGCCAAATGAATCAGCAGCTTCTTATTCTGCCGGCAGGATTAGTCAATGTTCATCCAGGCTCCTGGGAAGCGAGGTGAGGCTCTGCATAGCAAGGAGCTAGGTGGCCACAGGGTGTTGGCTGGTTCATGGAGCCAAGCAAATCCCTCCTTGTGATCCTGCAAACACTGCTGGGATGCACCCACTCGTGCTGGGAGCCATGGGACAGCAGGGAGAGGCAGCAGAAGGGGAGAAGGGAAAAATACCTCTACAAATCTGCAGCGTGGGCGAAGGATGAGGCTGTTGGGTGTGGGGGAAAGACTCAAGGCTGGGGCTGTGTGTAAGGGATGTCCCTCATGCCACAGGGACCAGGATGCCTGGGACCAGGAGCACCATGCCTGGCTGGTTTTCCTGGCTGTTAAAGTGGGTCAAGCAGAAACCCAAGGAGCATCTGAGCTCGCCAACCTTGAGCCAACTATGTGGAAGCTGAATTATTCAGGGCCAGTTTAAAAAATTGAAGAGCCCAGCAAAACTCCAGGAGAGCACAGCCCATGGGACTCCCACACCCTTGTCAGGCAGAGGCAGCTCAGCCTGCCATGCTCAGGGTGCACCTTGGGCATTTTGGGAGGGGGGACAGTGTTGTTTGTGTCTAACACTGCCCTTGGGGACGGGGAAAGCAGAGAGAAAACACCCAGCAAAGTTCACCCTGATGGATTAATTCCCCGTGTTCCCTGTAGAGATCCAAGCTGTAGCAGTTTCCTTGGGTATCCCAGCGTGGCTCTGTCACACCTACAGCAGGAGCACCTGGAAGGGAACCCCCTTGTCTCCTGAAATGGGGATCTCTTGATTTTTTGGGGCTGTGGTTTTAGAGAGGAGGCTAACACTTGATCTTTGCCACCAGGTGTTTGGTTGCAGCATCTCCCCATGGCTGGGAGAGCACCACATCCACCTGGGAGCTGAGGTGCTCCCCTCAGCTTGGCTGTCTCTAAAGGACCACCCCTGCTTCTGCTCCTGGGGCTTTGGAATGGGGAGATCCAGCTCCTGGGGGGAATCCCTGTGGTGAGTAATGCTGCCTGGCGAGCGCCGGGAAAAGGCGGCTGCACATATGCTGCAGCTCATCCTGCTCTTTTCCTGGAGCTCTCTCACTGTCTGGGTGCCAGCCAGCGCAGACACGGCCAGGGAACCCCCACCACACTCACCCCCCTGTGGTTTTTACTTTTCTAAGGTTCCTGGAAGAGGGAGATGGAGTCTGGTGTAGAGCAAGGGGGTGTGCCCCAAGGGGAGTGAGGTGCTTTGAGATTTTACAGTGACACTATGAAATTAGAGCTGAGCAAATGTGCCCAAGCAAAGAGCCCAAAAAAAAATCCCCGTTTGCACCAGAGGGCCGAGCTGTGCAGGTGCTCAGCTCAGAGGGGAGCAAGGAAGGCTGAGCCCCAGCTCCAGGCCGTGCTTGGCACAGTCAGGTGTGTGCTTTGAGCCAAACTCCGGCTATTTCAGCCAAGGAGAAAAGATGGAAATTTCCACCTGGCCTGTTTTCTTCCCCGTGATGGATTTGCAGGAGCCCCTTTCCCCAGCCCCGCTCCCGGCAGCAGGGCTGAGGCGGTGCAGGAGGCTGTGCCTCTCATTTCCTCTGGCGGCAGCAGCAGCAGCAGCGCATCCCCGGCCCCGCAGGCTGATTTACACAGCGCAGCATTTATTGACTGCGAGGAGATTGTCATTCACAGCCACGGCCTGGAGCAGGGATGGCTCCTCTCCTCCTTCCCGCTGCCTCCATCCTCACACGCCGGGGGGAGAGCTCAAGGATGGTCCCCCAGGGCTCTCACCCAGCTCGCTGGGAGGGGGCACCTGCTGAGTCCCCCCTCTGTGCCTTGCTGCTCCTGGAGAAAAGCATCAGATCCCCGTGGTGGAGCCTGCAGCCTGGGCCAGCTCACCCAGCCCAGGAGGGGTGGGGACACCCGTGAGGTCCCTGCCTGGGTCACCCACTCTGGGGACACGTGTCTTCTCCCCGGATGGATATTCACACTGCCCCATGTTGCTGGTTCCCTTCCTCCTCTGCTTCCATTCCCTGGTTTTGGAAGGGAGCACAGACCCTCTTGGCTGTTTCCTCAAAAAGCTGGGGGATTGCTGTGTTCTGTTAACCAGAGCTTCCATCCATCCATCCATCCATCCATCCATCCATCCATCCATCCATCCATCCATCCCTCCTGACTCCATCAGCCCCTCTTAGACAAAACCCTTCACAGGGCAGGAATGACCCTGTCCCTGAAAAGCTCATGCCCCGAATGAAATTACCGGGGCTTTCTTCCTAATTAACCTCTCCACAATTAGCTCCGGACCTCCGAAATCCCTCCAAGGCACCTCTAGCCGCTACCCACAGCCGGTACCCACAGGCGGTGCCTACGGACAGGGTACGGGCGCGCACCGGGAAAGCCTCTCGGGGGGGCTCGGGGGAGGAGCGGGGGGCCGGGGGAGGAGCGG